ATCCACGGTTCGGTTCACAGTTTCGTGGTCACGGTGTTCGGTTCGGTATATGTTGATTGTTACACCGAAATCCCATAAAAATTAATGAAATTAATGAAAAAATCCCCAAAAAACAATGAATTGTAATTATTTTTAATGATCTGCGGAAACTCTGGATCATTTCCGCATGTTTTGCTGCTTTGAATTTAATCATCTCGCGAATGCCCTCTACGATCCCCAAGGAACTCGGAGCAGAGCGGACGGGAGCCACAGTGGAGGCTGTATACTTTGCTATGTGCAGGCGGATGATTAAATGGAGCAGATACACAAAAACACTAAAAAAATCATTAGCATTAGTGAAAGCATTCCTAATTGTTGAGCTCCAGTCATTAAACATTCTCTCTGGGATCCATCGATGGTGTTCTGTTTTTCATTCAAGATGGGGGAAAAAAGGCCATCACAAACCAGGTGTAAGATGTTCCTCGTGAAGATGATTGTGAATGGTCCCTTCTTTACATAATGTCTATAGGTAGCAGGAAGCAGATGTTCATTATAGTGTTCTCAGCAGCAAACGATCTTGGTGCTTTTAAACTGTTTGCAGGTAATCATCTGCTCTGTCCCTATTATTTTCCTTTCTCCCTGATACCCAGTGTGATAAAAAGATTATCATTATTCAAGTTGTGAAGGCTTCTTTAAGGCTTTTAAATGGACTGTTTTCAAGCAGCTCAACCACTAGTCTTTATTAACAGACTGACTCAGCAGGGAAGGTAGAGCACTACCTCCTTTCTTACTTAACAGTATGAGTGAACCAAACACTGATCATTAGTTAGAGCTCCTGCTTTCATACTTGTATTCCATAATTACATCTTACGTTTACGTTACAGTACCCATTCATATGTTGACAGCAAATTCATAACGTTTCTCAGGACAGGCTTCACTTTAACTAGAAAGATTGTGCTGTTTTATTAAGATGCACATTTACCACTACTAGATCTCTGAAGTTAATATATTGAATTTTCAAGTTTTCTAATGGGGCTGAAACTGAGGATCATTTTATAAGTCATCTAATCAATAAAAAAAAAAAAAAAACTCCCTTGTACAAGTCTACAAACCCTTTATTCATTACCTTTAGAAAGTAACTGGTTTAATTTATTCTTAATATTAATAACAAAATTGTTTTTAATATTAAAATTGTATTTAAAACAAAATATGTTGACCTTCAAGCTTTTAAAAACACCTTTTTTCATTGATTTAAGTCACAGTAGGTGCATCTCTTAAAATTTTCTAGTGTAAATTCTGAGGTATTGCATCATAAAAGCGGAATGGAAAATTTGGAAAACCCCATACCAAACCCCCACCCCCCCCGGATGTTCCTACTATGCATGTAGACATGACTGGAAGCAACATCGCCATTACTAGCTGACACGTTAACGTAAGAACAACTTGCTCCATGGCAACGCGTTCATTAAAACTTTCCTCTGTTACTGATCTGCGGTCTTTGCTATATTCCAGCCTGTACTCCCTGTTTATGACATCGAGGCATGATGACGTATGAGGACATTAGGTTTTGAGTGCTTGTTTAATTTCCTTTAAACCAAATAGAAAAACCATAAAGTTACGTTTCCTTTTATTTGAACTTTAAAAACTTTTGTTAAAGTTCAAATTTCAGTTGGATTGAAACTTTCATAAGGCAATGTTTAAGAGCATCAGCGATAAACAATGGCAAAAGTTTTAGTTTTAAATATACCCTCCATCGCTCTAGCTGTACAATGAAGTTGAATAAAACTCATTATGCAGCTGCGCATACATTTCAAACATTACCATAACCATTAACAAATTAAACGCTGAAAAAAGCCAAACAATAACTGTTTGATATAATTTTACTGAATTGTAACAGAGTTCAATGTCCACTGCTTTGGACTGATCAGAGGCTGAGGAATGAACCTTGATCACTCAATGAGCTGTAGGCTATCGACAGGAGCTTGGTCAATAAAGCAAATAACATTTCTGAGTACTTTAACTGTTAAGCCATATCTTACTAAACCAAGAAGGTATTCCACAGACACATTCCTCCATTAAAACAAATTATTCTGTATGTTCATTTTGTATAGAACTACTCTCACATTTTTTGCTTGCCAGTCGGCCATTGGTCTACTGCTTGAACCTGCAGAAAATAACATACGGTAATAAGGTTTTTATCGCTCTCTAGGGAACTGAAGCTATGCTTCCCTCTGTAGCTGCATTTAGTCCTACATATGATGAAAACAACACATTCTGGTACATCAATGTTTATATTGAAAAACACTACAGCATATTACATTTTGTGTCAACTCTATAATTCTCGTTTATGGCAATAAAATTGATTAATTGTCCAGACCTAGCTTGTTGTTTTAGATAAATAATACAATTTTGGTCCATAGCTTTGACTATGTTTTTTTTTTTTGTTTTTTTTTTTTCTTAAGCTGGGAGGTCAAGTGTAACATTTATCTATACACTCCAGGCAACCAGATGTTGTCCATTGCCAACCAGACTTTTTGATCTGGTTGGACTTACTGGAAACTACTCATCCCACATGGGGAAACATATCCTTTGCACCTTTTGCCCTTAAGGGATAGGGATGTAGTCAATTAGATGCACCAATCTGAAAGTGTAAAGGAAGTGTTGGCAGGATAGATGAAAGGTGCCTTAGAAGTGGAAATGGCATTTCTTTCCAACATGAAGCAACGTTTTACAGATGATATGAAAGGCTTGGACAGAGAAGCTACAAACCGTTGTAATTCAGTCGTGGTAAGTTAGTTTTAATGGCAGGTTTAATATTTGCTATAAATGGACAAAATCTGAAGATTATTTGTTGTTGTTTTTCTGAACAACTCTGTTGATCAATTGCGGGTGATCTTTTAACAAAAGTCATGTTGCTCCACCTCGGAAGTCATATTGTGTCCTAAACAGTTTCTTAAATAGATCTCAAAGGAAGTGGGCAGACAAGTTTGTATCTTCAAATGGCTAATCCAAAAAGATGCAATACAAATTATTGTTAAAATATAATGCATTTTAGTCCTTTATTTTATTATTTTCTATTTTTTTTGTCTCTTGTGCTTTTTTTTTTTTCTTTGCTTCTCTTTTGGATTTATTTACCTTCGCCTTTATCTCCCTGCTAGCCCCAACTACCTAGGCATTTAACTAAAATTTTGATATTTAAAACCTTCATTTACTCCCTTACATAGTGAGGAAATCAGATCTTGAGCATTAGTACTTACCATTGGCAAAATAAACAAACTGAACCCACACATGCACACCTCAAATGAGCACCATCTCAGCACTGTTTTGAGGGTGCACCTGTGTTGCTAAGTACATTTTGTTGATACGGGCCCTGTGTGGCAAAGACCCATATAGCTGAGTTGTTGTTTGTTGAATTTAGTCCAAGCATTAATGGCTTTAGAGATAATGGAACAGGTTTTCCTGCTGAACAGGAGAAACCTTTGTCTCCAAGCAACGCTTTGCTTTGCATGGAATGGAGGCTTTCCTTGTGTGGGGTCAGCCTGGTAATATTATCTCCTTCCATGGCATTTAAAGGACTAATGGCTCAGGTCAGTGTTTGTCACAGCAGTCATTGTTAAGTTAAAACCCTAAGTATAATAAAATTTCCCAAATGAAAATGTAAGTTGGATAGCCACAATAGAAACAATATTTTCTGTACATTGAAAACTTGAATACATTTATTAGTAAAGGTTTAGATACAGCTGGAAATTATTCAGAATTTATATAAAATTTTAGCAACATCAAAAAACTGTGTTTATTATGACTTAGTTATTATAAAGACAGTTTTTCCCAATCACGTGAACCATTATGCAATTTACTAAAAAATGTTGAGGTATAGTCTGAGTATCCTCTCTGTGTTTGCTGTGCTCTTTGCAGCCACTGCTGCCTGGAATTTGTGGTGTGAACAGAATTACAATAAGGGTTAAGAGCTGCATCCAGGATAAGTGATTGATGTTGATGTAACTCACTGTGAGGCTGAGACTGTGTATGATATCCAAGATTAAGCTGCAACGTGTTTAGAGTGACAGATAACGAGTCGGATTGTATATGGTTTGAAATATCCAGAAGTAATGAAGCTGTAATTGCATGAGGAGTCTGGTAATTAAATAATATAATTGATCTGGCTAAATTACCATCTTACTTGCTCTCCTTGTTCTTTACATTAGTCTTTTTTCACTTAAACTGGATTTTAAATTGTAGGTTTTATTCATTTATAAAGTGACAGAAAAAACAACTGGTCCGGGTATGTTTTATTTGCTATGCTTGATGTTTTTGGAATCGCAAAGGTGCCATTGGGTTCAAACCAACAAATCTTAAGCATATTGAATCTTTGTGATTAAAAACACCAACAATATTTAGGTATTAAAAGGACTTTGTGAATTTTAGTGGTTGTGTGGATTAATAATAATTGAACTTTTATGATCTCACTTTGGAGAAATTTACCTCTGCATTTTACCCATCTCCTTGGGGAGCAGTGGGCTGCCATCGTTGGGCGCCCGGGGAGCAGTGTGGGGTTAAGAGTCTTGCTCAGAGACACAAAGTGGCAGTCTGTGGGAGTGGGGCTCGAAATCAGAACCTCAGGATTTCAAGCTCTATGCCCTCACCACTACTCCCCAGCTTCTTCATTTCAGATCCGAGGCCGGTGTTGTGGCTTAGATAATTTGCCGATATTGATCCGATACGATACTGGTATGTGTCATACCAGCTTCACTTACTAATTTTATACTGTTAGAAGGTGGATATAGACTTGATCAAGCAATATTAATAAAATGTTGAACAAAAGTCAACAACAAAATGTATGCATGAATGCAACTGATCCATGCCAGCCAAAAAAAAAACCAATATCAGTTTTTGGGCTGATATCAGACTGATATCCGATATTAATATGGGATCGGGACATCCCTAGTGGTAAGGACAGTTTTCTGCAGCAGCTTCTTGCATTATTTGTCTCACAATTGACCTCACGTCTTTGTTCTTGGCAGGCCTCATCGCAGCAGCTGAAGTTTACGACCTCTGACTCCTGTGACAGAATCAAGGATGAGTTCCAGTTTCTTCAAGCACAGTACCACAGGTAACCACATTCACATAAACTTTTAGACTTATGACACATACACCAGCTTTAGAGATATAGGTTTTTTTTTTATTATATTATAAAACATTTTAAAGGTGCTCTGTGGCTATAATGGTGTTATTTGATATAGATATTATTTGTTTGTGATTTGATCAAGTTTGAACATTACTTGATATCAAATCTACCTGGTCTGAATCAAGTTGCTGGTACTCTTTGTTTTCTGTAATAAAACCCTCTAAGTAAACATACAAAATCAAGCTACAGAAGAAATGCATACGTTTTCTCCTTTTTTGTTCCTCCATCTTGAAATGTGTCCAGATCAAACCTGATGGACGAAAAAAAAAAACAAAAAAAAAAAAAACAAAACATATCATAGTTACTTGCCGGCTTTACAGCTCCTTCAGAACGGACCTGGAGATTGTGTTACAGCTACAGGAACAACCCCCATGTTGATCTACGTATCTAATAATACAAATATGAAACCTAAAGTAAAACATGGTAATGGCAGCATCATGCTTGGGTAATCTTGCTCTCCTTGCTGCTTGAATTTATTTTCAATTACATCAAAAGAAAAGTTGTGTTTTTGCCCTCAAACTGATTGTAAATTAAATTGAAAATGGTAATATTAATATATTCACTCTGCCTATTTAAGGATTTGGTTAGAAAATTAGTTAAATTAGGCCACTAGTTTACAAACTTTTCCTGGTGGACTCCCCTTTATTTAAATACACTGAGGGTTAGACATGGTTTGAAGTTGATTGATTCTGGTTTGGATTCTGATTCTTCGCTTTAATTCTGATTCTTTTAAGAGGAAGAATCCTAAAAGGTTACGTGTTATAAAAAAGCTTTGTAACCAGAGCCTAGTCTGGATGAAATGGTCTGCAGCTCTCAATGAAATTTGATTCCTTGAACATCTACCTTTGCATGAGTGTTACTATATAAATGATCAAGTAGTTATTTTCAACCATTGACCGATACAAATCTAGATATAATCCTTGATATAGGTTTAACATACATAGACAGGGATGCACGTTCTCTTGTAAATGAGACCTTGCCTCTCAATAGGATTGATCTGTATAAGGAAAGGGGAGGTTATACCCTTAAACAGGATGGCCAATGTTTTCCATCTTACCTGTGTGATGGTTTAAGTTAGATATTTGAGAGTCTACTTGCACTAAGAGGTGAGTCGAACTGGTAAACTTACTATGATAAAATGTATTAAAAGCTCAAAGTGTTAACAAGTTTTAAAAGGAACGGGAATACAGCTTCTCTGCTGCAGGGATTTCTTAGGAAACACTTTTGACTCATTCACACCTAAATCAGGCTAGTTTTCCCCTGCCTACTGATCTCTCTGCACTGCTTAAATACTGCTACGTTTCCAGAGGTATAAGATTCCTCTAAAGTCCTGACCTTCATTCATCTGTTTGATAGCTGTTCAAGTGTACCACAGGGGCCACATCTCGGTAAGAAATCAACTCTGTCAGAAAAAGAAGCTTTGAAGCCCATCTTTCTTCCGGAACAGGTTGGTTTGTTCCTGTGTACCTGTACTCCCAGATGCTTCCAGAGGCTTGGCTCTGCCAGGAACAGACACTCAGAGACACATAAAAGCTCTACGTATTCTGTGTAAAATTCCTGCTGGTTTCTCATCACTCTATGCGCAGGTTTCTGAGGCTGCAATAACGCCCTTTGTATCTTCTACTATGCCTTTGCTTTTGTTATTCCCATAACAGCGAGCAGCGCCGTTTAACCCTCTTTAGAGAGTCAGGGTGTAGTTGAAAGAATACCTCTTTTGTCTGAGCATACACAACATGCACTGCCTTTTGACTCAGGAGCAGGGTTGGGGTGGGGGGTCTGGGGAGCCACAAACGAAGCTTTGTAACGTTGTGTTGCTGCTCTTTGCTCCTCTGCTCCTGAAGACTTAAAGGTAAATGTACCGGAGGTGTTCCCCTGGGTATGGTAAGAAGCATTGTAGCGTTTTTTGTCTTTCTCTCCCCCCACCCGAATACCTCCCACCCTCTCTCTCCTACCCCGATTTCACATGCATAAATAGATCAGGGAAAACATAAATCAAAATAAAGATGACAGCAGGGGCGATTTAGAGACGGAAGAAACGGCAATAAAACTCAATCAAAGTGTCGTTTGAGAACGCCGTTGCAGACCCTGGGGCTGCTCAGCGGCAATCAGAGAAGGCACCGAGCCAATCCATGGTAGGTTGGCAGCCAGTTGTCATGACAACTTGTTATATGGCCTGTGCGTATAAGCTAGAATAGCAGAAAGATTTTTATGTAGGTGTCAAAAGCAACATTTTGGGATAGTGGACACTGCTCATTTATGCACTCAAAAAGGCAAAAAGGAATAAGCGTACTTGATAGAAAGGTTAATCCAGTCCCTATTTTAATATTGCGTAGAGAGTTGTCTGCCATGGCATGGGGTGATCTTCAAATCAACATTTTATCTATGTTGAACAGTAGTCACTTAGCCACATTTGAATTTTATTAAAATTATTTTTCTTTGTTTTTGTATTCTTACTGATTGTACGGGGTAGACAGGTGTCTTTATGCAGCTAATGAAATCAAACAGGTGAATCTAATTTAGGATACTAATTGGAGTGGAGGTGGACATTTTGAAGGCCGACTAACACGTTTTTGAGGTTCAGAATTCTAGCTGATAGACAGGTGTTCAAATACNGGTGTCTTTATGCAGCTAATGAAATCGAACAGGTGAATCTAATTTAGGATACTAATTGGAGTGGAGGTGGACATTTTGAAGGCCGACTAACACGTCTTTGAGGGTCAGAATTCTAGCTGATAGACAGGTGTTCAAATACTTATGTGCAGCTGTATCATGCAAATAGTAAAAAAAAATAATATATTGTGATTTATGCATTTTTTTTCTTTTTCTTTTTTTAGATTGTGTCTGTCACAGTGGACATGCACCTACGATGACAAATTTCAGACTTCTCCATGATTTTGAAGCAGGAGAACTTTCAAAATAGCAGGGTGTTCAAATATTTATTTTCCTTACTTGTGTGTTTTTCTCAGACAGAATTTGCCTCAAACTAGGTAACTTAAAAAAAGACAGATTTTACTCCTATTATAGTGTTTGAGTGATTGTCAGAAAAATCACTCACAGTTCAATCGACAAGGAAAACCAAAGCATGAACAGACTTTACCTGGAGCTGCCAACAACACATGTAAAGAAATAAAAGCAGCCATTTACATTACAATGATTCAATGCATACTGGATTGAATTGTTCTAACTCCTAAGGCACTCCCTACCTTATTGGCTTTTTATGACATAGAAAAACACACTCCTGTTATTATATGGTTAGAAATTAAACAATATAATACATGTCACTAAACAAGTGAGTGTGATGTCAAGTCAAAGAAGTAAAGAAAAGGTGATATATTTTTATAAATAAAAAATTTTACAGAAAGAAATCGTTTTTATTGTATAAATGTCATGTATCTGAATTCAGAAAAAAGAATGAGCAGTTGATTTAATCTGGAAAGCAGAGATCTGTGTGGTTATTATAGACAGAGCACAGTGTATTGTGGATGAGTGAGCTCACATCATTGGCTGAGTGCACCACGATGTTCAGTCTGCCAGTTAAGACTATTTATGACTCAGCCAGCGCTCCCTGTAATCGAGCTGTCACTCGTGTAGACAGCTGAGAAGAACATCCCAGCATAAATATACACACCATCAAGCAGCTTGCAGACATATCTACAATCTAAACATTTCCACCATCTCTCAGCATATTTGGTTAAGCCTTGCAGATAATTTAGAATAGATGACAGCCTCTAAAGACTGGCAGGTTTTTCAGTCAAAAACAGTGAAGGGACTGTTTTTATTTGACAGTGTGGCTGACTTGTTGACATGCTCCCCTTTGTCACAGTGCCTCATATGACAACAACACTGACTTGATTGCAGCTAATGGCCGTCACTGGGTTCGGGTTACAGGAAATACTGTAGCACTCCTCCAAGATGTTTTACCTAATCAGCTCTTCTCTGCACGAGGAAATAAACATCTGAGCTAGACTCTAGATTTCAAACCAGAACTAGTTGAACCCGGTTCTGCCAATCAGCACCTGTCAAACTCAATGAAAGGCTCCTACTGGCTTCTAAAGGGAATGATGATGGTGATCTAAGTGGCAAAGTTGATGTGGATTATTTGGGTGAAGAAGATGATGAAAATGCACTGGTAATGATGAAAACCAAGGAGAGGGATTTGGTGATGATGAAAGTAATGACAGTGGTGAAAGAAAATGAAATGGCTAGTGATGATGAAGGTGGTTTAAAAGATACCTGGTGTCTGCACTTTAGATGAAGGACTGCCAAGCTGAACATGGAGCTCAGATTTTGTCCCTCTCTCTTTCCCCAGTTTGAAGCTCGAATGTGACAAGTTGGCGAGTGAGAAGTCAGAGATGCAGCGCCATTACATTATGGTAAGTTAACCTGTGTATAAGTATGCTGCAAATCTATGTCTTTACATTTAACTTTGTCACTTTTACCTAAATTTGTTTAAATACCTTCCATGATTTGTTGTTTTCTTTCCTTGCAGTTTGTTATTCCATATAAAAGCTCAAATATATAAAAACTTTGTGGTTTTATTCCTTTTCAGTTTCTGGATTTACACCACTTAGCCAAAAGAAATATCCATATGCATTCTTGATTCTATTGTGAATATGTTGGCTTTTTGAGTCCTAACTCATTGATGGAGTAGA